TAAAGTCCCCCAGTACCATAAATCTGGGGAACTCCCCTGCCAACCCGGCTACTGACTCCAGCAGCGCAGGCAGGGCTGTCGCAACGCAGCTGGGAGGTAGGTACGTCAGCAACAAGCCCAACTGAACCCATGAACTCAACTTCAATAGGAGGGACTCACACCCAACAATCTCCGGGGCAGGAATCCCATGAGGACTCAGGGACCTCCGAGCGATGACTGCCACTCCTCCACCCCTGCCCTGATGTTGAGGCTGATGAAGCACCACAAACCCATCCAGGCACATCTCCGAGAGGGGAACACCCCCTCAGGGACCAGCCAGGTTTCTGTTATACATGCCAGGTCCGCCCCCCTGTCCAGTATTAGATCACGGACAAGGGGGGCTTTGTTGACAATGGACCTGGCATTAAGTAACAGCAGCCTACAACTAGGGCCCTGTACTCCTTTGTCACCAGTACTACAGGATGGGCCTTTTGAGGGGCTGGAACAAGGAATCGCTCTAATATAGCGAGTCCTCGTTCCCGAAAATGGCCTGCCCCTCGACTCCCGCCATATCTGCCCATCCCAGTCATAACTGGGATGCTCTGACCTTCTCCCATCCCTGGAGTACCCCCACCCTCACCAACCTTCTCCTTTCCCGACCGGACTAGCATTCCATGCACACCAAGCCCAAGGGTAAGTCCTGCCCCCCGCTTTTGCTATTGCACTCAGCAGAGGGGGCACCAGGCTCCGCCCCGACTCTACCATTCTCCTACCAAAGACACTCAATACACATTCACATTCAGTTAATGTACATAAAAGATAATTCACATTCATATGCCCTTAAATACAATAATAAAATTTATAACTAACAGGGCAACCATTCATCTGCACACATACACATACTCACAACAAACATTCTCTAAAATGGCGGACAACAGTTGTTACAGTTGTTAATCTGGCGCTTGAGGTCGCAGAGCGAGATGTGCAGCCCGTCAATGGTGAATGTGTGATAGTTGAGCTTTGACGAGAACTTGTAGTGCCCGCAGGACATGGCTGGCTGGCGGGCGGGCGGGCGAGCAGGCTTCCGCTTCTCGGCTCCCCCAGAGGCCGCCTCGCCCACCGCGGCTCCTGTCAGGTGCGGCGCTGGGCCGGTTAGGCCTCTAACATGGCCTCAGAAGTGGCGGCTCCCTCCTCCCTCATCTTCGGCCTCGTTGTCTCCTTGGCGGCGGCGGGGAAACAGTGTCTCACCTCACCTCTCCGTCCTCCCTGGTGGATTGCAGCCTCAACGGCCCCCTCGCAATGGCGACGGTGGCTTCGCGAACGCTCCGGCAGCTCCGCCTTCGCTCCTGGGTCTTTCTCTCTCTGGCTAGGCCGGCCAGGCCAGGCCTACTTTTTCCCTCATTTTCAGATGGTTTGAAATTCTTTTAAAAAAGTTTCCCCCAGGAACAAGGATGTTCAGCTGATGTCTTCAGAAGAGGTAGAGCTAGATACTGCTGCTACTATTTCCCTTTCTTCTCCAAGACGCTATTAAGGTCACTTTTCAATCAAGACAGAGCTGGCGTTTATTGCTCGGCCTCTTGGCTGGCCTACCTCGAAGGGGTAGATGCGGTTCCATTGAGGACTAAATTGAGGACTACACGCTAAGTACAGCCGGTCAGCCAGCTACGGATCCATCTGGTAACCATGCGTCTATTTTTATATTATTTTCCTTTGAACAGCTCATGTTTTTACTAAAATTGCAGATTTTGAAAGTTAGAATCAAACATGTGGTAGATATATGTGTATTATTTTAACAAAAATAAACCCAATCTGAATTTCTAGTGCAAATTTTAAATAATATTCATTGCCCTGAAAGACAAAATGTTGGAGATGCTTCATACCTACTATTTTGTATAATAAGGAAATATGAATCTAAAGCTCAAGAATCCACCAGCACTAGTAATACACTAATTATGGAAGTAAATTGGCAGCACAGAACTCACTTTGATTTTAAGACAGACCTTCATATATCTCTGAGAGATATTATACTCTGTCCAGATTTGGTGGGAAAATTCATTTCTTTCTGATAGCAACATTTCCCCCCATAAATAATTACCTGACAGAGGAGGAGAATTGTTTGACATTTACCAAGAATAGGATATATTGTTGAAAACAAGTGGATAAAAATGAAAAGAGCTGCCAAAATGGCTGCTGAAATGTCTTTAAAGATCAGTTTCAGGATTAGCTGGTGCTTTGGAGGGATCATTTGCTCTAGTAATTCTCAATGGAGGCTGGGGGTCTTTATGTGCAAAAGATTAAATTGTGTTGTAATGTTGTGATTCAAATGGCTTCTTTAACACTGTGATGTCATAATTAACATTTCATCTCAAAATTTCAGCTTGCTATATTGGACCTAGTCCTTACCAAATGTATTTTTGAAATTTTTGAAACCTAAACAGGTTTCTATCTCTTTATCTTTCCAGGTTTCTATATCTTTATCTTTCCTAATTTCCATAAAAATTTGTTTCAGAATAAATCATAGTTCTGAGGCAGTATTGGCTGTGCTTGTTGATGAACCTTGGAAAAAATTGCACAGAATTGCAACTGTCCTGGTTCTTCTTAATGTCTTGGTACCTTTGAATAGTATTCTTCTGGACTGCTTAAAGAGATTAGGAGTGGGAGGCATGGTATTTTTCTGGTTCTCCTCTTTTCTCTGAGATTGGATACAAACTGTGTTGATGGAGGGGCAGAAATCCGCTCCTATGACATATACCTCAAGCTTAAAACTCCCATCCCAACTACAAGAGGTTGCAGAGTGTGGTCCAGTATAATTAATATGCTGATGATAACAAGTTATATATCTCAGTCCTTGCCCAGCCAGTTGAAGCTATCCTTATGTCTGGAATTTCTATGGTCTAGAGGAGGATGAACAGGCTCAGCCCTGATAATACTGAGTAATTCCCTCTTTGGTCCTGAATAGGACTGTACTTTTCTCTTCAGAATTGGTGTACACATTGGAAGTTGCACATTAACTTGGTTGCAACTGACAACTGATATCTAAGCTTGTTGAATTCCACACATAGATCCTCTTTTCCCATTTGTAACCGCTCTCCTTCGGCATATAATGTGTATTATAAAATAAATTTGGTAAATGATTTATTATGGACTTGAGTTTAGATTCTGTCTCTACCAGGATCACATTGTCTTTTATCAACCACAGTTCTTAATGAAACAATGAATATTTATATGGTATTTCAAGGCTTTTAAATTTATTTTTAAAATCCATCATGAGTATTCATTTTAATCAAATCCAGCGTTATCAGCTTCCATGGGTTAGCAAAAGGTATATTATACAAGGGGTATGGCTGATTTTATGTAAGACCAACTTATATAAATATTGTGGTATTTTAATTTGATTTATTAAGTAACAGTCCACTGCTTCAGATGCTATTGATTATTTATCAAATTTCATGATTTGTTATTTTTAAATAAAGGGAAGGCCAGTATTATTGAGGAAAATATGTGCTATTTATTTTCATTATATTGTTAAAGCTGCATTGGACTTAAATGACTCAAGATCTCTATATTACTTTTCTGATATGTGTTTTTATGGGTGTTGCTGCTTCTTACAAAATAAGATGGTATATTTAAAGCTAAAGCTGTCATAAGCATTTACAATTTGTATATCATAAAGTTTGCTTTACAATCACCTAGTTACTGAAGCACCTACTTCACAACATGCATAATATTGAACACAATATTACCAACACATTTTTTTCAGTTTTATTATTTTGCAGCACATGAAAGCTTGTCACCTGCCATTTTCCTGAAGTGATAACAGATTCAAAAGAATTCTATTTCCTATTTCATAATGCAATGCATTTTAATGGTTTTGATTTTATGTTAAAGTTATTATTTTTCTGTGGATTTAATTTAAAATTCTATTTGTAGGGGAGTGAACATGTGGCTTTCCAAATTATACTAAATTACAGTTCCTGGACTTTGGGATTCTGGCTGGAGCTTTGAGGAATTGCAGCCCAAGAACATCTGGAATATTAAATATTCTGCTCTGTGCTACTCAAGAATACTAAATTAAATCATTCAGAATCTAGTATATTGTTAGGTTGTATTGGGAGGGAGAATTAAAGCTCCATAAAATAAATAGAGATTGATATCAGAATGATACTGCTACATAACATAGTTGTATACTTTGAAGTACACTGGGTTAATCTGGGCTGCTTCTTAACATAGAAAAGGAGCTTAGTAACATTTGATCAAGTCTGAGTCTTAAAGTAAATCTTCAATCTAAAATGTGTATAATGTAGTTTGATGGCATTCATCCAAAAGGAAAATAATATATTTGTAACAGAACATTAGATTGGAAGTTTTGGTTTGAAAAAACTAGGGTAATGTTTAATAATAAACCTTGTTATCAACAGTGTCTGTATTTTTCTAAAGTAGTCATAGAATGATCTGTTAAAATAATAAGTAATACTTACTTTTGGAACTGTTTCTGACTGTTGTAAGATTTGCTAGAAACAAAGATTAAAAAGTGTAAAGTAGATGAGAAATTAAAGTGGAAAATATATTTGAATGTAAGAAAATAAAAGTTCATTAGCAGGATCGAAGGACTTTTCTGGGCTGAGGACCATATTCAGCTTCGGAGTATATGAAATAGACAGAGCTCAAACAAAACTAATTTTGTTTCATTGTTATCTTTAAAAATGAATATGTTAATATTACTCTCCTATGTATTTAATAATTTTACTTTTCTAATATATCAGAAATTATAGCTAAATAACAACTGTTACAGATATCTGGGGGCTGCAGTCCAGGTTTGCAAAGACCACAATGAGTCTGCATTGTCCGGAATGTTGATTATTGGTACTTTTATTACATACTGAAAACTAACCTTAAAATGTTCTAAATTTATACTAAGCATGGTTATATAATACAAATATTATAAACGTATGCCTAAAATGGTATAGAAGTTATACAGCATATATTTATTTTTATACATTTATGTATGTATGTATTTTTAGGATTATTTAACAATTCACAAATATGGCAATGCTGCAAGGAAGGACCTATGGAATACACTGTCAAAGGTATAACCATTAAACATATTTCATGATCAAGTGTAATTTATTTTGAGGGTTAATATTTATTACTTGGCTTTCGGGCTTATATATGTAAATATTGTGTATTAAAAGTGATACACTGAAGAAAAGTTTTAAAAATGGTGCTTAAAAAGGTACTTAATGTGGACCTCAGAATCTGTTCATCTTGCTAGCACATTCCCTTACTCTTTGCCCTTAGAAGTAAAAAAAAAAAAATCAGGATGACTAAACTATCATTAATTTTAAAAATTGTGATGGATTCAGATTTAGAACATGAAAAATAGGCAGTCTTTGTTCAATCTATAGGTTCAGTGTTCACAGAAGGTGCACAAGTAATTTGGCACTAATTGGCAATATTGATAACATAGAGGCAGAAAGCAATGTCACACAAGCAGCAGAAGCTCATAGAAACTTTTCTTTCCTGATTTCTCCTCTCTGAAATTTGCTTCTTGAAGTTCCCAACATTCTTATGCAGATTTTAAACACATGTTGAGGATGTTGAAAGAGAGGGATTTGCTCTTCTGCTAGTCCTCTCCTGAAAGAAATTATTTTACTAGAATCAGCAAATTGGAATTTATCTGCAGCCTCTAGCATATATTTTAACTGAAGTAAGATAAATTAGAAATGGAATCTGCATTAGAATCTATTGCAGTAAGAGACATAATGTCCTGTAGGATTATTTGGGAGCTGTAGTTCTCTAGCAAAAGAAAAGGATTCTCTGTGATCTAGTCCTTTCAATTGTGCATTAGACCCAGGTCCCATCTGGCAGATAAAAGCAGCCAGGGAGGAGATGAAGAATATAGTCATGGAGAAAGGGGAAGTTTCAACACTTTGAGAGTGGGGTTGTTCTACTGATTTTTCAGGAAGTCATGCCATCATATAGTGAAAATGAACAATTTCCATCCATTCTCCACTCTTGCCTTCTTGGGGAAAATTATGGAGAAAATATAGTTTTGATTAGTTGGACCTGAAACTCCAGGGTGTGGGACAGAAACTGTATTGATCTCTTTCATGGAAGTCCTGTGGACTTGGAGGGAGCATTACCTTTGTTCTCTGAGATCTTTGACTTATTCCTGGTAAAATCTGCCCACCTGACTCAATTAGTCTAAGAAGATATATTCATCTACTAGGAGATTTATCAGTTCTCTGTAGGCATATCTCAACTTCATCTCTGAACCCTTGAGAAGTCCATGAAAATGCATAAAAATGTGGCTTTTACACAGTGCCTTTTAGGGCTGATTGTAAAGCCATCAATTTAAAAGTAAGTTTTATTTATTTTATTTACTATATTATTTTGCATGATAGAATTGTTGTTGTGGTGTTTTTTAGTGAAGAACTGGCTATAATTCAGTTGGACTGAGGCAAAGTATGAATTCCATAAAATAAATAAATTTATTCCTAATCCAAACTCTGGTTGGGTATAGCAAAGTCAATACAAGAAGAGAGCGCTAATTATCATATATATATATATCATATATATTTAAACAAAACAAACAATAGAAATCTACTATACATAATAGGTGCCATTCAATCAAATTGAAGCAAAGGACAAAAGCCTATTGGAACAAGGGCTATTGGTGGATTTGAAATACCTCTTATGTCCATATCTCCATTAATAGTGTCAAATACTATGGAAGAAATGGATGTGGGGAAAAATAAGTTTCTAAGGTTTTGAGACCTTAAGAATTGACAGATAGAACTGAAAGATAAAGGGAATGGTACAGTGTTGCAGGCACAACCAAGGAAACCCTAGTCCTGGTAATTTCAGAAAGAGATTGTACACACAATAGGACCGTATATAAAACTCATGGGTCCCCTATAGGGAAGTCACTTCTTTAAATAAGTGGCATTTTTGCTAACTATAATAATGTAGATCAACTTCAAAGAGCAGAGTAAGCCAGGTAAAGGAATTAGAAAAGTATTGTGAAATTATTATTTTGTAATAATTTGCTCTTTCAATAAAAGTGAACTGCTTTCACTGAACTTAAAGGTTGCATCAGCATTAACGTGCCTTGTTAAGATGATTTTACTTAGAGTTTAACACCTTAGTATAAATCCAAAGTGATGGCTAAAATTGTTAGTATTGTTATTGTGTTTTAATTTTCCATCTAAAGTTAATGTTGCAATTAAAATGAACAGCCATCAAGTAGAAATAGAGAAGGTATGTACTTCAGATATTGGTGAACTATAGTTTCTAACAGCTCCAGTCAGCACAGCTAATGACAAAGTAGCTTGGAATCAAAAGTAATTTAACAGCATCCGGAAGGACACAGACTCTCTACTTCTCTGATAAAGCAAGTGGAAAAATAACTTTCTTTCTATTATATTTTCTTTCTATTATATTTTATATTATATTTCTATTATATTCCTAGATGGAATTCTATGCTGAATTGAGTGCTAACACATTGAACCTATTTCTAATATTGAATGTATTTCTAAACTTGATATCAGAGTAAACAGTAGTACTACTGTTACATAGAATTTAAACAAATGTAATATATCTGCATAGATTAAAAAAACTTCATATAACATTATGAATACATTAATGAATACCCCCTGGACCCTTTTACTAAAAGAGACAATAATATCATTTCAGAAAGGTGTTCTATATTTTTTATTTGTTTTGAAGGCACTTAAGAAGATTGGGAAATTTGTGAATATCCAAGAAGTAATGGATCAGTGGACACTCCAGATGGGTTATCCTGTTATCACTATCAAGAGAAATGAAAATACAGACAGTATTATAGGAATCTCTCAAGATCATTTTGTTTATGACCTTGATAAAGATCCCAGTTTGAGAAACAACAGGTATTTACATTTTCTACATTTTACAATTGTTTTAATACTACTGCTAGAGAAGGCGAAATATCTTCATAAATGGTTAAATAAAGATTTGTGACTATTGCAGTGACACAGTATGCAGTATGCCTTTGCTATTTTTAAAGAACATTATTTATAGGAACTATCTTAAAATATTGAAATAATATTGTCAGAATCTAGAATCTACATTTAGAAAGTTGCAGATAGAGACTTAAATTTATATCTGGAAATTTTCAATAATAAGTAGGTCTATTAGTGGGTGAAAGTGGCAAGAAGGTGACAAGCAACAGGGAGAAAGCAGAACTATTTAACTCGTTTTTTGCATCTGTCTTTACACAAAGGGAAAAAACAGACCAACCTATCAAAAATAGTGCCATAAAAAACAGAATAGAAACACAAGTTAAGATAGGCAAGAAAATGGTAAGTGAGCACCTGTCCAGCCTAGACGAGTTCAAATCGCCAGGACCAGATGGATTACACCCCAAGGTTTTCAAGGAACTGGCAGATGTGATCTCAGAACCACTGCACTGTCTCAATCTGTTTATTTCCCTCATTGGTTTTTTAAATGTGTATTTAATTACTTATACTGGAACTTAATGAATCATGGAATTCAAATTTCCAAGAAATTGTGTTGTATTTTATAATTTTGCCAAAATTTTAGAACTCTATGAATACAGCAGTAGTGCATTCATTCAATTCAATACATAATATCGCCAGTGGATCATGGATGGGAAAGGAAGGAAAGATAGGAAGATAATAGGCAGAAGGAATCAGCAACTTTTAATCTCTATTCCACTTCTTTGTACTTTAACAAATCTTTAATACCTCGATGACCAGAGTAGCTGTTACAGCAATTTTTATTTTTCTGTTAAGCATATTTGCATACCTACCGGTATTAATTACTGCACTAAATAACTACTGGAAGGGGCAATTGTTTTCTTGCTTGTAGCAAGGTAAGGGATTGCCCCAGAAATTGCTGTTTACATACAAGATGTAAAATTGCTGTATACGTACAGATATGTATAACAACATGAGTGATTTTTTTCCAAGATTAGAACAAACAGGAAACCAAAGCGAAGTCTATTATGCAAGGACTTTCCTCTCTGTGAGCCATTTTTCCATGTACATTTCCATCATTTGCTATCCATCTTACTAATTCCCTTATAATGAAACAAAATGGGGCTGTCATTAGCTGTTTCAATTTCTTTCCATATGTTCTGATAGCTATGTTGTTGTTAGCATGATAGTGACAATACTACTTCATTTATTTTATTTAACACTGTTATTTAGTTAGTCACAGCACCATTTCATGCAAGAAAGAGGTGGTAGATATCCTTAAATGATTGGCATAAAAAAACTCCAAACTACTAGTCTAATCCTGCTATGAATTGTGATTTTGTGAAAAATGAACCAATTAATCACTGCCAGTCTTCCCATTGTTTTAAAAGGCCATTCTCAATATCAGTCCTGACTATTTTTTTTTCTAATGCTAATATATTAAACTTATATGCTGTCCAGCTCTTGATGACCCTAGGTGGCTTGTTTAAATTTAACTGAGAAATCTAACGCAGTTAAAAATAAATGTACCGTGTTTTACCCATGCCCTTTTATTTTCATAAATATACAGAATGTTAGAGATGAACGTAAAAAAGGAAATGGAACAGGACTAAAAATATAATTTCAAAACATTCATTTGCAATCATTATTGCTTAGAGTAATGAGTACGAACACATTTAAATTAAATAGGATATAATTTTGGACTTATTTCCAAAATGCAACACTCATTGCCCAATTTCAGCACAAAGTAATTTTGAAACCTATAATTTTCTGAGCTTTTCTTCACCAATAATTTGGGGCAGCACAGATGTTGCTACATTAATAAATAGAAATACTAGTGGTAATGATCCATTGTCCTGACTCTCTTTGCAATCTAGTGTACTTTGATATTGTTAGATGTTTTGTGGAATTAAAAAAAGGCAGGATAATGTTGCTAAAATTGTCTTGGGTGGAACAAGGCCATCCCAGAGAACAGCAACCATAATTGGAGTTTCTGGGACTTCCGGTCTTGCATCATAGTCACATGGCCAAGGGTTGCAGGACTCTGCACCCCATGGCTGGTTTCGCCCTGCCAGGGGATCCTAAATGGGTTGAAAGTCGCCCTGGAGAGGCGATGAAGGAGGGGCCTCCCGCTGATTGTGGAATGATGGTGGTTGATCTGTTTGATCTGGGGGAAACCCTCCAACCTAACAGGAGAAAGGCTAGCCACACCTCGCTGACTAGCCCAAGCTACCGGCAGTTGAAGTCCAAAAGCACTAACCAGAACAATGATGAAGAGCATGCTTGGAACTGGGTGAGAATATAGATCTTCTCTCTCCTATTTTGTAACTGATTTCCTGGAAATTGCATTCTTTGACCAAGTGACAAAATTAGTGGATCAGAGGAATGCTGTGGACATAATTTACTTGGACTTCAGTAAGGCATTTGATAAAGTAGATCACAACCTACTACTTGACAAGATAGAAAAATGTGGGGTAGACAGAACCACCACCAGATGGATCCGTAGCTGGCTGACAGGCCGTACTCAGCGAGTGGTCCTCAATGGAACTGCATCTATATGGAGGGAAGTGTGTAGTGGGGTGCCCCAGGGCTCTGTTCTGGGCCCAGTACTCTTCAACATCTTCATCAACTATTTGGATGAAGGGATAGATGGGGAACTCATCAAATTTGCAGATGACACCAAGCTGGCAGGAATAGCCAACACTCCAGAAGACAGGCTTCAGGTACAGAAGGATCTGGACAGACTTGAACACTAGGCACTAACTAACAAAATGAAATTCAATGGTGAAAAAAGCAAGGTTCTACATTTAAGCAAGAAAAACCAAATGCACAAGTACAGCATAGGTGGCACCATGCTCAATAGTAGTAACTGTGAGAGGGACCTCGGAGTCCTAGTAGACAATCAGTTAAATATGAGCCAGCAGTGTGCGGCAGCTGCCAAAAAGGCCAACACAGTACTAGGCTGCATTAACAGAGGGATAGAATCAAGATCACGCGAAGTATTAATACCATTCTTCAATGCCTTGGTAAGGCCACACTTGGAATACTGCATCCAGTTTTGATCACCACGATGTAAAAAAGATGTTGAGACTCTAGAAAGAGTACAGAGAAGAGCAACAAAGATGATTAGGGGACTGGAGGCTAAAACATATAAGGAACGGTTGCGAGAATTGGGTATGTCTAGTTTAACGAAGAGAAGGACAAGGGGGGACATGATAGCAGTATTCCAATATCTCAGGGGCTGCCAGAAAGAAGAGGGAATTAAGCTATTTTCCAAAGCACCTGAAGGCAGGACAAGAAACAACGGGTGGAAACTAATCAAGGAGAGAAGCAACCTAGAACTAAGGAGAAACTTCCTGACAGTAAGAACAATTAATCAGTGGAACAGCCTGCCTCCAGAAGCAGTAAATGCTCCAACACTGGAATTTTTTAAGAAGAGACTGGACAGCCACTTGTCCGAAATGGTGTAGGGTTTCCTGCCCGAGCAGGGGGTTGGACTAGATGACCTCCAAGGTCCCTTCCAACTTTACTATTATTATTATTATTATTATTATTATTATTAAAAGATCTCCAAGAAGCAAAAAATCCTCCGAAAGTGAGAAGGGAGGGACTACACCCTCCAACCTTCCATAGACAGAAGCGGCAAATTAATGTTTATGGGGGATAGAAATATATTGAAATGAAATTAATACTACTACAGTCTGGATAAATCTGAAAATTATGCAAACTGTTAAGATTCCACATCTGAAAGAGTATTAATGAAATTATAAGAAAATAATTCTTTATCTTAAAAGTTGGAAAATGAATAGCTACTGACATCTAATGGAGGATTAGAACATAAAACTACATCTGCATTGACTCAGAAATTGGCAAGAAGCCCAGAAATAGAGAAAAACTTGTTCCTTTGAACCTCAGAGACTTATAGCCAAATAAAGAACAGCTGGGAAGAGAGGAAAGAAAATACACTGGGCCATCTACTACAGAGTGAGAACCACATTTGTTTTAAAAACTGTTGATCTTCTGGGATTATAAATACTTACTGAGCTATGATCTCTAAGATCAAGAATTGTTTTCAGAGAAAGAAAAACCTTGACTTTTGGCTAATCTTCTCTTAGGTGGCCAAACATTCTGGACTGCAATTTTGGCTGGTTAATAATTGTAAGCAGGGCTTTTTTTGTCATAGAACGCCCAGAATGGAATTCCGGCACCTTTTTTGGATGGAACCTTGTAGGGTAGGCAAGGCGGGTTGTATGACATGTGTGAGTTCCAGCACCTTTTTTTTTTTTTTACAAAAAAAGCACTGATTGTAAGACCCCTGAACAGAAGAACTGTTATAAAATACTGCTTTCAATGGTGCTTTGAGAATTGGAAACACATTGGATTACAAAAACCATATATAAAGATAAGAACTTTATAAGATTAAGTTGTTTGGATTTTAAGATTGGCTGCTTTGATGAGGTTAATCATAGAGATTATGGTACCGATGAAAGACTGGAGGGGGGAGACAAAATGGATGTTCCATAACTATCTAAAAGTGATAGGAAATCACACCTAATATTCCCTTCTGATGGCCCCAGCCTGGAACATCAGAGATCTTCAGGAGCAACCTCCAAGACAAGGCAAATATTTTCTAGAAGGAAATGTATGCAATGCTGTGACAGATTCAAATGACAATTGTTTCAAACCATGATTAGATCAAAAATATAAATGAGCACATCTTCAACCTAAACTTATAATTAAAGAACTTTCAGAAAATGACAATAAAGAATGAACAAACAAATCAGATAACAGAACATAAACCAGAGGAAAGTATCCCAAATAGGGAAGCTACAAATGAAGAAAACTACAGCTTAATACAAACAAAAGAAAATCTGTAAGATTTTGCCACAACAATGAAAATGGAAAGATACTTTATCTTTCAGGAATTCAAA